TCAGCATGCCTAGATTTTGATTAATTAATAATGAAAAATGCCATTGCAAGCCAAAAGTTTTCCTTGTTCACAGAACAATGTGAAAGCACTGGTGCTTGTGATTAACCTAATTCAGCCTATTCCAAGAGCAGTTTTCAGGACCTGCACACTAAACCCAGGTAATTCGAGCTCTATTACAGTCATCACAAAAGGTGTGACTGTTCCACCCCAGTGCCCAAGGAAAGGAGTGCTGCTGCTGGCCTTCCGGCCAGAGGCTTCTTACACAATCAGTCTGGAAAACAGCACCACCTGAGCTGGCTCGCAGAGCATTTGTTCCCTCCTGTTGAAGTTAGTTAAGGAGAACTTCACCACCAACTTGGATGGCAGAGGGTTGCACTGTGGTCTATTCAAAGGGAAGGGCAGGTGTCACTCCTTAAGCCACTTAGTAATTTTTCCAGCATTGTGACAAACTTTGTAACTGTGGGCCTTTGTCCAAAATTACCTGTCCCCGACATTCAGTGACAGATATAAGGGTGTGAAGGTTTTAGCGCAGTTAAAGGCAACTATATGAAGAGTTTTGTGGTGACTTGAAATGGTGAGACAACAGGAACTCCCACCTAATATGGAGGTGAAATTACAGAGATATGAGCCAAATTAAAACCTTCATTGATGCTGTTAAACTTGCAACTGGTGACAGATGGTTGTGGGTCTCTGTTGACTACTGCAAGTGAATATATATTTCCAGCAACATTTACAACATGCTACAGATCAATTTTTAGCTATAAATTATAAGCATAAAAGTCTCCAAGATTGTCAGTTGGTTGGTTTTCTCTTTGGAGGTTTGTGGGGAACAGCAAGATGTGAAAAACCTTGACCTAAGAGCTACTGAAAGCAATGTGAGTCTTTCACTTACTTAAACAAACTTTGTGTTAGGATGGGCCTGCCCAGAAACCTTTTTCTTTCTAAGCAAACATTGTAAAAGCTTTCTAGGATGTGTCCGTTTGAATAGTACAGGCAGCGGCCCTACCCTGCTCAGCAGCCAGTTGTCTCTGTTATTCCCTAACCTTGGTTGTAATGTCCATTTCTCTATCTCTGCAGTAAATGCTTGTTTCCTTACACAGAAGGTTGGGTATAGGCAGGCAGAGCCATAAAATAGCCACCTTTGCTCAGGTTACCTTTGACAAGCCCATCAGCAATGTGCAATTGGAGCTCATGTACTCTGTTGTCACCATGGATGTGATTCTTCCTGAGTCCAAAGGTTACTGTCAACCAGGGCCTCTACAAGGCTAACAGTTGTAAATTAAGGACTAGCACTGTAAGAGGGCACTACCCCAACATCCATTTTGAAATGGCAGTCTAAACCTGTATCAGAAATAGTGTGGCCAGCAGGACCAGGAAAGTGTTTGTTCCCCTGTACTCAGCACTGGTGAGGCTGCACCTCGAATACTGTGTTCAGTTTGGGGCCCTTCAATACAAGAAAGACATTGAGGTGCTGGAGTGTGTCCAGACAAGGGCAATGAAGCTGGTGAAGGGTCTAGGGCACAAGTCTCACGAGGAGTGGCAACTTGGGTTGTTTAACCTGAAGAAGAGGATGCTGAGGGGAAACCTTATTGCTCTCTACAACTACCTGAAGGGAGGTTGTAGTGAAGTGGAAGTTGGTCTCTTCTCCCAAGTAACAAGAGAAAGGACAAGGGGTAAAGGCCTTGAGTTACACCAGGGGAGGTTTAGGTTGGATATTAGGAGGAATTTATTTACTGAAAGGGTTGTCAGGCACTGGAGCAGGCTGTCAGGTAGGTGGTGGAGTCACCATCCCTGGAGGTGTTTAAAAGATGTGTAGATGTGGTGCTTAGGGACATGGTCTAGTGGCAGACTTAGGAGGGCTGGATTGATGGTTGGATTTGATAATCTTAAAGGTCTTTTCCAACCAAAACTATTCTATGGTTCTATGATCTACTTGTAGATGTGATTCTTAGGGACATGGTCTAGTGGTGAACTTGGCAGTGTTAGGTTAACAGTTTGGACTCGATGACCTTAAAGGTCTTTTCCAACCTGAATGATTCTATGATTCTAACACTCCAAATCTGTAGCCTGTGGCCAACATATATTTGTATTATCAGAGTTCTTGGAAAAAGGTACATTTCTTCACATTGACTGATTCAGATTCAAGTTAGATCATATGATCCAAACTGGCCATTTGTCCGTATCACACATTTATCAGCAAGCTTGTATTATTATTTGTTCTTACTTCTGGACAAAAAAACCCCAACAACCCAAAACATTTCTTATTGCAAGAGTTAAGAATGACACATTTTAAATAGAAAATAAACATCCTAAGAATAGAATAAGTAGATAAAATATTTTGGAAGATTTAACACAGTAATAGGTAATGCTGAAACCAAAACGTAAGGAAAATAGTCTTCAACTACTGTCTGTTATTAGCCAGGTTTCTCTTTATCCAGAAATAATTATAATAAGGAAGGAAAAAATGACAAAAAATAACATACTGTCATGACTGCATGGAAGTGTGGTCTGAAAAGAGAGTCTTGACACCCCTTATGATAATTAAGCATAATATGCATTCCTTGAATAAAAATAATGTGCTTTCAATTTACATTTGAATTTGTTCTAGCATTGGAGAAGGTGTTAGCAAAGGAAGTCATTCATCCACTGCTGCTCTGAAAGAGTCAATAAAGAGATTTTAATGATGCTTCTCCTGAGAGCATCTTCCATAGTTGCAAAATATCTACATATGTACATTTTGCAATGAATTTATTTCTTATGGATTTAGCCGAGGTGTAGAGCAAAATCTGAAGACTCACTGTGAACACGTTAACTGTGGAATGCGATGTCATGTAAATCTAAGTAAAAACATCGTAACTACAGAAGAGCCATGATGGTAAAAGTACTGCTTGTTTAAGGGCTGAGAAAAGCAAATTGACATAGCAAGAGAAGGCAGAAACACTGGCACTAGGTCAGACCAGAGCTCTGCTAGCTCTCAGGCTGGAGCATATGTGCAACCTAATGGGGTGCCCTTCACCTTCTCTGGCAGCCAGCACTGGATGTGTGCTGCTGCCTTGGGAAGATGCAGGGAGCTTACCTGTAAGGAGACACATGTGTGCTGGTGACTCAGCAGAACACGATCACCTACAGCAGAGTGCCCAGAAGGGATCAAAACTGCTCTTGGTGTAAAGGAGCCGAACACCAGGCTGTGGGAGAAGGACTACAAGAGAAAACATGAGACCAATGAAGTATTGGGCCTGGAGACAGCCCAAAGACATGACAAGGCTGCTCAGGGCTGTGACTGCTCAGGCTCACGCAGGTCCCCTGCTTCCCTGCTCAGAGACTGTCCTGCATGCACAGAGTTCCCCAGGACTTTTCCTCCACTCAACAGTAAGCAGTGCTACCATCTCTCTTCTTTTTTCTTCATCAGGAAATGAAACTGATGAAGCCCCATCTCTGGCACCCCCAGCAACTTCTGGTAAGGAGAAAAAGCCCTCACTCAGCCCCTTTTATGAGGACAGATTGGGGTGACACTTCTCAGACAGCTCTATAGCCCCCACAGGCAGGGATGAGTTCCCCTGCCTGGGTCTTGCCAAATTCCTCATCCTGCCAAAGTTCCATTTTCCCATCACACCTCCCTACCATCTGGAAAGACTGGCTGCTCAGACTTTCACCCAGATGATCCTGGGGAGAAGGCCACTATGCGGCAGTGGGGAGATATGCTGGTGATACAGTCTCATGACACCCCTCGACCTGCTCTGGCAGCTGGTCCTGGCTGTGAGCTGCTGCCCTGGGAAGATGCAGGGAGCTTTCCTGCAAGGAGACACTCATGTGCTAGCAACTCAGCCTAACACAATCACCTAGAGGAGAGAGCCCAGAAGGGAACAAAACTGCTCTTGGTGGAAAGGAGCCAAACACCAGGCTGTGGGAGAAGGGCTACAAGGGAAAACGTGACGCCAACTAGGCACTGAGCCTGGGGACAGCCCAAAGGCAGGGCAAGGCTGTTCAGGCTCATGCAGGTCCCCTGCTTCCCTGCTCAGAGACTGTCCTGCATGCACAGAGTTCCCCAGGACTTTTCCTCCACTCAACAGTAAGCAGTGCTACCATCTCTCTCCTTTTCCCTTCATCAGGAAATGAAACTGATGAAGTAAATACTACCTTACCATCTACAACGGCACCCCCAACAACTTCAGGTAAGGAGAAAAAGCCCTCACTCAGCCCCTTTTATGAGGACAGATTGGGGTGACACATCTCAGACAGCTCTATAGCCCCCACAGGCAGGGATGAGTTCCCCTGCCTGGGTCTTGCCAAATTCCTCTCCCAGAGGAGACAAAGGTGCCCACATGAAGGCTGTGAATCATCTTCTCTCTTTTTCTGCTGGCCTTTGCTGCAAAAGAAAAGTGTTGGGGAAGATTTGAAGAGTCTGCTCGTTTCCTGATTGGTGCCTTTGCCTCCCACACCAGTCTTGGGTGCAAGAAGATCCAATCAGATGAGGCGCCCAGGGCAAGCCCCTGACCAGACCCTGCAGGGAGTTTTTCCTGTGGCTGCTTGGAGTATGGGCAGGGAAGGAGCCAGGGCACACAGCAGCATGGGGCTGAGTGGCCAAGGCCATGGCTAGGGACCACAGAGTGGTCCATCTCAGGAATCCTTCGTATTCCCTTTCCAGGCCTCCAATCCCTGCTTGGTGCTGGGCAGCTCCATGTAGGTGGGTCAAAGCTCCTCCTGGGGTCACCCAGAGGAGGAGAAGCCTAACCATTCCCTCACTTCTTTCTCCATGTGGGATATGAGAAGTGCATCCTTCCTGCCAGCACCCCACATTTCCATCACACCTGCCACCATCTGGAAAGACTGGCTGCCTCAGAGTTTCACCCGAACAATCCTGGGGAGAAGGCCATTATGGGGTTGCTGATGGGTATGCTGGCTGTATGCAGTTTCAGGGCATCCCTCAACCTGCGCTGGCAGCTGGTCCTGGCTGTAAGCTGCTGCCTTAGAAAGGTGGAAGGACTTTCCTGAAAGAAGACATGCGTGTGCTGGTGGCTGAGACAGCCATGGCCAGTGAGTGCAGCTGAGCTAGGGTCAATACACTGCCCATTTGGGGCATGTGCAAATGTCCTGGGATCTGGGGAGAAGGGGCCGCGGATATGTCAGACTGCACAGGCATCCTGGCCAGGGTGAGCCCAAAGGCAGGGCAAGACTGCCCAGGGTTTTGGCTGCTGCGGCTCACGCACGTCCCCTACTTCCCTGCTCAGAGGTTGTCCTGCACACACAAAGTTCCCCAGGACTTTTCCTCCACTCAATACTAAGCAGTGCTACCATCTCTATTTTTCTTCATCAGGAGATGAATCTGAAACAAATACTTCTGAATCACTTGCAACGGCAGCCACAGCAACTTCAGGTAAGGAGCAAAAGCCCTGAGTCAACACCTTAGCAGGACAGATTGGGGTCACTCAGTTCCAGAGAGCTTTACAGACCCCACAGGCAGGGACAAGTTTCCCTGCCTGGTTCTTGCCAAGTTCCTCTCCCAGGGGAGACAAATGTGCCCACATCAAGGCTATGAATCCGCTGCACTCTCCCCTCTTACCCTGATGGCCTTTGCTGCAAGAGGAAAGAGTTGGGGAAGCTTTGAAAAGGCTGCTCATTTCCTGATTGGTGCCTTTGCCTCCCACACCAGCGTGCAAGAAGATCCCAGCAGATGAGGCGCCCAGAGCAAGCCCCTGACCAGACCCTGCAGGGAGCTGTTCCTGTGGCTGCTTGGAATATGGGCAGGGAAGGAGCTAGGGCACACAGCAGAATGGGGCTGAGTGGGCAAGGCCGCCCAGTGTTTTGGCTGCTCTGGCTCATGCAGGTCCCCCACTTCCCTGCTCAGAGGTTGTCCTGCACGCACAGAGCTCCTCAGGACTTTTCCCATACACCACACTAAGTAGTGCTACCATCTCTTCTTTTTTCTTCATCAGGAAACAACTTTGAAACAAATACTACCTCACCACCTGAAATGACAACTTCAGGTAAGGAGCAAAAGCTCTTAGTCAGCCCCTTTTGAGGACAGATTGGGATCTCTCAGGTCAAGGCAGCTCTACATAGCCAGAGACATGATCGCCTGCCTGGGACTTGCCAAATTCTTCTCCCAGGGGTGACAAAAGTGTCTCTCATTTGAGACAAAAGTATACTCAACTTTAAGCATTGCTGACATTTCTCTTGTTTTCCCTTCATCAGGAAATAATGATGCAATAAATGCTACTTCCACTGTGATGACCACAACAACTTCAGGTAAGGAGCAAAAAGCCCTCAGTCAGCTCCCTGTGAGCAAATGGGGAGTAGCTCAGTCCCAGGCAGCTCTGCAGTCCCCATATGCAGGGATGAGTTCCA